ATGCACGGGACGAGGCAGCCCTTGCCCCGAGGTTGCCGCCGCCGGCCTCGCGCAGTGGCCACCGCGGGCCTGTGCGCGTTGGCAGCGGCTCTTCGGCCGGTGGCCTTCGGCTTCTCCGTCGCGAGGGTGCTGCCTGTCCCTGCCCAGTCCGCACCACCCGGGCGCCGCCAACGCAACGCTGTCGCCGGTGCCAGCCGCGCAGAGAAGGCCGTGCGGGGCGGGGCGGTGACGGCGAGGGCCTTGCAGCCCGGCTCCAGGGCTGGCAACTTCAAGGGGGGCAACATCGTGGTCAAGGACACCGTGCGGAGCGTCGTGATTGTGGCTAGCATGGGTGGCGTGTTGTTGGGCAGTTGGTGGTTCACCGGGAAGTGGTGGAAGTTACCCCTGGTCGTCGCATTGCCCTCGATGCTGTACCGCTTGTGGACGACACGCATGGACACGGAGAAGCTCGCCGCTGTCAGCGCGTCCGTGGATTCGAAGTACGTCGCCAATGACGAGAAGTCCAAGAAGGAATTGCACATGTTCATGTGCAGTGGGTGCGGCTACACACTCTTTCCTGCACGTGGGCGCGAGGCGGCTTTTTTCACTGACGATTTCAAGTGTCCTATGTGTGGAACGAGCAAAGACGACTTCTTTGATATGAACGAGGAGGAGGAGGACTCGCCGGAGCTGGAGTCACCCACGTCGGAGAGCGAACCCGTGTACAAAGACCTGTAGGGAGGTAGCCATTGCCAGACTGGTGCTGTAGTGTGGACACAGTAGTGCGGCGAAAGTAGATGCTCAAAGCGCCAGGTTGCGAGTGTCATAAGCCTGCGAGCGATGGGCTGTCTAAGCGCTCATTGTGGGTTTCGGCGGGCTCTGACTTTTTGGTACATGCTGCTGGGCGGGTATCCGGAGACGGGAAAATTTCAGCACTACTGCGGCGTTCTCTTTCGATTTCCCGCCGCTCCCCCTTTTTTCCCTACCTAGGTTCTGCCTAGAAGGGTTCTTACTCTCTTAGCTTAAAGGGGCCGGGCAGTGGAACTCGCCCCGGGCGGTTCCCCCGGCATCCGCCCCGCGGTTCCCCCAGTTACGTCCCCTTAGCTTAGCGTTGCTTATCTCATCTTAGCTCAGCCTATGTCATCTTGGCTTAGCTTAGCTTCATCTTAGCTCAGGTCTACCTTAGCTTAGCTTACCTTCATCTTAGCTTCGCTGAGCTGTAGCATAGCAGAGCACAGCATAGCATAGCATAGCATAGCGCAGCACAGCATATCATAGCATAGCCCAGCATAGCATAGCATAGCGCAGCATAGCATAGCATAGCATAGCATAGCGCAGCACAGCGCAGCACAGCATAGCACAGCGCAGCATAGCATAGCATAGCATAGCACAGCATAGCATAGCAGCAAAGCACAGGCAAAGCAACAGCAGCGACAGCACAGCAAAGTGCAAGCAGCGCAAAGCAAAGCAAAGGAAAAACATTAGCATGGGTGTAATTCCCTACCTAGGCTCTGCCTAGAGGGTTAGCTTAGCGCAGCGCAGCGCAGCGCAGCGCTGCATTAGCATAGCATAGCCAAGCATAGCATAACATAGCATAGCATAGCATAGCATAGCGCAGCATAGCATATCATAGCATAGTATAGCATATCATATCATAGCATAGCGCAGCTTTGCATAGCATAACATATCATGTCATAACTTATCGTATCAGAGCGCAGCATGACATATCATAGCTCAACATAGCATAGCATAGCATAGCATAGCGCAGCCTAGCATCGCATAACATAGCATAGCACGGCACATCATAGCATAGCGCAGCATAGCATGGCATAGCATAGCATAGCATAGCAACTAGTGCTGCTTTCCTAGGAGCTCCAACTTCTAGGTAGGGTCGCACTGGGGTAAGTTTCTCGATCTTTACTCCTGCAGGAAGTATACTCCCGTGCCCTCTTCTTGGCGCATGGGTGGCGTGAGAGTGTGTTGTGGTTGTTGAGGGTTTTTTGGGCTGAATGATCTGGTTTGCCGCGTACCCCCCCCCAGAATCCTGGCACGCGCCCCTATGGAGGATCGGGTGTCGATAGGGACACGACATTTCAGTCCCACCCGAGCACTTGAAGTCATGGCCGCTTCACACGTCGATTGCAAGCGCATGTCGTCATATTCACACTTATTTCAATAAGACCATCTGCCCAACTCACATCGTGCTTTGTGCCTCCTCCTTTAAACAGCCTGTCGCCACCTGAAAGACACGGCGTTTGGATTTCCATGCCGTGTGTTCCCCAGTGGACGAGCCCCGTTATCCTATTCCACTCGTCTTGCCGAAGCCGCCATACTATGAAATACATTGATGTTCAGGGAAGGGCCTCAGATACACCGGCAGGTTTTCGTTGATTCTCTCTCTCAGTCTGCTCCAAGCTTGGTGTTGGTGAGAGTCTATGTTTCAGAGTCATGATTTGATTCCCTGGGCAAAGCTTGATACGCGTTTGTGCCTTAGAGTCGTGATGCGGCTTCTTAGAATGGAGCTTGCTACGACGTTGTTCCTCACAATATGTTCTTCCTAGACGCTTCGCGTAAACCCACTAGTTGGCTTGTGTGCCTTCGTTGCCAATCGTCTCGCTTGGCGCCCCTGTCGAGATTGACCCGCTCTCTGGAGTCGTCTTTTGAGCCGCAGATCAAAACAAGTAAACCCACTAGCCAATCTAGAAACGATGCAAAGGCGAGTTGCCCTGATCAGGGATGTGGAGGAGCATGCCGTGAAACAAAGTGTTGAGGAAGCCGTCATAACCCGAGAAGGGGGAGGATGGAGGAGGAACGGGAGGAAGAGGTGGTCTGGGGCGTTTCCGCTGCCAGCTTTCTAATGACCAGTGTTCCTTATCAACATAGACCCCCTCCCCCAGGGGACTGGCATCCAACCAGGAACCATGCCGACACCAGGCCGACCCGCTCCCCACCATCCCTGACAAAAAATTAGCCTGGCGAAGGACCCAACCATATGCAGTTGAGAGTACCGCAATTGTGAATATCTTCTTCGGTGGCGCTCCCTATGGGGCCACGAGCCGTATGAGGGGTGTGCCGAAATGCGTGGCAGTGTACACAACACGAACGAAGACGATAGGTCCGAATATGAAAGCTTGAGCGCGTGCGAGTCGGATCGCGAGCGAGTCTGATTATGAATGAATCTGCGCGCGATTGATTCTATTCGCATGAATGCGTGCATGGATACGCCCAGTGTAAATGTATGTATACGACTGTGAACAGTTTGGGTCTGCGTGACTCTCGGTACTCGTGACTCTGAGCGTCGCCTCTGCAGGGGGCTTCCCTGGGAACCCCGACGGCAGCGCCCGCGCGCCGCGACGCCCATGTCGGCACGCCACACACCTGGTGTGCGGGACGCATGCGGACGGCAGCACTGGGGCCTTCGGTGGAGCTCCCTGTGGGGCCACGAAACGTGTGAGGGGTGTGCCGAAATGGGTGTGCGGGACGCATGCGGACGGCAGCCATGGGGCCTTCGGTGGAGCTCCCTATGGGGCCACGAAACGTGTGAGGGGTGTGCCGAAATGGGTGTGCGGGACGCATGCGGACGGCAGCACTGGGGCCTTCGGTGGAGCTCCCTGTGGGGCCACGAAACGTGTGAGGGGTGTGCCGAAATGGGTGTGCGGGACGCATGCGGACGGCAGCCATGGGGCCTTCGGTGGAGCTCCCTATGGGGCCACGAAACGTGTGAGGGGTGTGCCGAAATGGGTGTGCGGGACGCATGCGGACGGCAGCACTGGGGCCTTCGGTGGAGCTCCCTATGGGGCCACGAAACGTGTGAGGGGTGTGCCGAAATGGGTGTGCGGGACGCATGCGGACGGCAGCCATGGGGCCTTCGGTGGAGCTCCCTGTGGGGCCACGAAACGTGTGAGGGGTGTGCCGAAATGGGTGTGCGGGACGCATGCGGACGGCAGCACTGGGGCCTTCGGTGGAGCTCCCTGTGGGGCCACGAAACGTGTGAGGGGTGTGCCGAAATGGGTGTGCGGGACGCATGCGGACGGCAGCCATGGGGCCTTCGGTGGAGCTCCCTGTGGGGCCACGAAACGTGTGAGGGGTGTGCCGAAATGGTGTGCGGGACGCATGCGGACGGCAGCACTGGGGCCTTCGGTGGAGCTCCCTGTGGGGCCACGAAACGTGTGAGGGGTGTGCCGAAATGGGTGTGCGGGACGCATGCGGACGGCAGCACTGGGGCCTTCGGTGGAGCTCCCTGTGGGGCCACGAAACGTGTGAGGGGTGTGCCGAAATGGGTGTGCGGGACGCATGCGGACGGCAGCCATGGGGCCTTCGGTGGAGCTCCCTATGGGGCCACGAAACGTGTGAGGGGTGTGCCGAAATGGGTGTGCGGGACGCATGCGGACGGCAGCACTGGGGCCTTCGGTGGAGCTCCCTGTGGGGCCACGAAACGTGTGAGGGGTGTGCCGAAATGGGTGTGCGGGACGCATGCGGACGGCAGCCATGGGGCCTTCGGTGGAGCTCCCTATGGGGCCACGAAACGTGTGAGGGGTGTGCCGAAATGGGTGTGCGGGACGCATGCGGACGGCAGCACTGGGGCCTTCGGTGGAGCTCCCTGTGGGGCCACGAAACGTGTGAGGGGTGTGCCGAAATGGGTGTGCGGGACGCATGCGGACGGCAGCATGGGGCCTTCGGTGGAGCTCCCTGTGGGCCACGAAACGTGTGAGGCCGAAATGTGCGGGACGCATGCCGGCTATGCCACGAAACGTGTGAGGGGTGTGCTGGGGCCTTCGGTGGAGCTCCCTATGGGGCCACGAAACGTGTGAGGGGTGTGCCGAAATGGGTGTGCGGGACGCATGCGGACGGCAGCACTGGGGCCTTCGGTGGAGCTCCCTGTGGGGCCACGAAACGTTTGAGGGGTGTGCCGGAATTGGTGTGCGGGACGCATGCGGACGGCAGCCAGGGGGAGGAGGAGAGGAGGAGGAGGAGAGGAGGTGGAACGCGGGGCGCTGTCTCTTCAAAACGAGGACCCAACACCACAGGATGGTTGGGAACAATACAAACCGCACTTTGCCTCCACATTTGTAGCACGCGCGGTCAACCCGATGCGCCCCCCCCTCCATGTCAAAGACAATACAAAGTACACTTTGGTGCAAAGTCTTGAGTCATGGATGTGAGGCCCGCGAGCATTTTGTATTGTTTTTGACCAGGACGGCGGGGGCGCGAGCATATTCTCTGCCGTGCGCAAAACTACCACCATTGATAAGACCATATCCTGGCGAACGACCCAACCATATGCAGTTGTGAATACCGCGGTGGTGCGTATCCTCTGCGGTGGAGCTTCCTATGGGGCCACGAAGCGCGTTGCCATGCGGGCGCTGCCTCTTGGGCCTTCGGTGGAGCTCCCAATTGGGGGGCACGAAAAGCGTGAGGGTGTGCCGAAACGGGCGCGGCAGTGCCATGCGGGCGCTGCCTCTGCGGCTTCAGGTGGAGCTCCCTATGGGGCCACGACACGTGTGAGTGGTGCGCCGAAACAGAAACGCGCGGAGGGCAGAGGCAAAGAGGGGAGGAGGGAAAAGGGGGAGGAGGGAGGAAGGAGTGAGACGCGGGGCGCTGTCTCTTCAAAACGAGGGCCCGACACAACAGGATAGTTGGGAACGGAACAGCATGCACCTCGCGGCTAAATCTGGATCATGGGCGGCCATCCCGCGATCACTGTCAAGTGGTTGTTGGCAGGGACCGCGGGGGTGGTG